ACTTTGTCAGGAACCTCTATTTCAACAAAATTGGAAAAAAAAAATTGTTTTCACTAAATTATAAAATGCTGAAGTTGAAATTATGACCTTTGTGTTGTTAGGGTCGATTTCGACCCAGTTATAAAAATAGGATTATAAAAAGCAATAATTAGAGCCAAAACTGAAATCATAAGTTCACTGTCAACCAGCACACTGACAGCCAGCTCCTCTCCCAATCATGTGAGCTTTAGGGGATTCTCATTTTGCCTTGTTTTCCAGTATACCTGCACAAAAACAAAACAAACAAAGACGGGCATGTCCACACATGTGAGGCCAATTCAGTATAGAATTGGTGACTTGCAGAGTGCACATCTCCAATTGGTAGCATGCAAAAATGAGAAGAAGATTTTCATTGAGCCAAGTTCTGGATAATATTTTTGGTGAAAATGAGGGAGAGGACACAGAGGGGAATAGTGATTTGGATGAGCAGGTTTCTGAGGAGGAAGACATTGTGGAGTATCATCCAGAAGACACAGACACATGTGATGAGTCTGATGAGGAGGCCACCGGTGCTGAAGCTGCTCCCGCTGAAATATTCCAGTCCAAAAATGGTAAGATCTGTTGGAGCTCAGCACCTCCTGATGTACATGGCAGGGCAGTTGCTGCAAATGTCATCCAAATGACCCCTGGAATCACAAGGTTTGCTGTGATGAGAGTCTGTGACATCAAGACATGTTTTGAGCTATTTATGCCATTGTCACTAAAAAGAGTCATCATTGCTATGACAAACCTTGAAGGAAAAAAAAAAGTCCATGGCAGCATGTGGAAAGACATTGATGAGGAATACCTGGATGCCTATATTGGGGTTCTTCTTCTTGCTGGAGTGTACAGATCCTGTAATGAGGCCACTGATAGTCTGTGGGACGCATCGACAGGCAGAAATATTTTCCGGGCAACAATGTCACTTCAGACCTTTCAAATGATATCAAGAGTCCTCAGATTTGACAGAGATACCAGAGATACCAGAACAAGATCTGACAAGCTGGGAGAGATGGGTGCAGCTCCTTCCACTGATGTTCAACCCTGGGCCAGAGGTGACAGTGGATGAACGTCTTGTCCCTTTCCGAGGAAAATGCCCCTTCCAGCAATGCATACCCAGTAAGCCAGGGAAGTACGGCATAAAAAATCTATATTTTGTTATATTTATGTTATATATATATATATATATATATATATATATATATGTGTGTGTGTGTATATATATATATATATATATATATATGTGTATATATATATATATGTGTGTGTGTATATATATATATATATATATATATATATATATGTATATATTTGTTCTGTTTTTCATTTTATGTTTGTACTAAAGTTCTATTGCTGAAAAAAAGAGACTTTTTTGCCTTTTTGAAGTAATTATATATATGGGTCGAAATTGACCCGTAACACCATAGATGTTACTATAGTTAATATTAAAATGAAAAAATAAACAAAACAAATTTATTTCAGAGATGTGTTCTAAATCCCCTCAGTAATAGTCAGGTGACATAACAACCTTTTATTTATTTATATGATTCTCTTGAGGTTCATTTTACATTGTTTTTTAATTGAAATCGAGGGGTATACTGACAAAAAAAGGCCCACGGCCCACACCAAAAATATTAAAACCAATATTTTCATGGATAAGGAAGCCTAACAAGGTAGCCAAGAGATGAGAAACAAATTGGATGATAGATAATTGTTTTTAGTGTATTTTACAGCTGATTTAAGACACGGGTCAAAACCGACCCGTTAACATAAGAGATGGTAACAGGAAACTAACACAAGATGAAGGTTAAGCCATAACACCTGCAAAGGGTTGCTGAGCCTTTAAATGGTCTCTCAGTCTGGTTCCGTAGGAATCACAATTAGAGATGAGCGAATCGAACATGGCGAAGTGGAATTCGTTTCGAAGATTAGGAAAAATTCGAATCGCGCCGAATCCGAAAATTAGCAAACTTCAGATGCACGAATCGAATTTTCCCAAAAATGGCGGCAACATGTGTGGCGACGGAGCGGGGATCTCTGGGAAGGCGCGCAGACAAGGCGCGCTGACCCATAATGCATTCATTCATGACATGTGATCGCATTAGCCAATCAGCAGCCAGCCAGCCAGCACTGTGTAATGGTGGAGCTATAAATTGCGGCCATCTTAGAATTCTCCATTAGCCTCTGGTCATTCAAGAGAGACAGACCTCTGTGTATTAGGGACAGAGTTAGGGCCACAGAGACTTTAGGGCCACAGAATCGTTACTTAGGGACACAGAATCGTTACTTAGGGACACAGAATCGTTATTCAGGGACACAGAATTGTTACTCAGGGACACAGAATTGTTACTCAGGGACACAATCGTTACTCAGGGACAAACACAGAATTGTTACTCAGGGACACAGAATTGTTACTGAGGGACACAGAATCGTTCAAGGGAGACAGACCTCTGTGTATTAGGGACAGAGTTAGGGCCAAAGAGACTTTAGGGCCACAGAATTGTTACTTAGGGACACAGAATTCGTTACTCAGGGACACAGAATTGTTACTCAGGGACACAGAATTGTTACTCAGGGACACAGAATTGTTACTCAGGGACACACAGAATTGTTACTCAGGGACACAGAATTGTTACTCAGGGACACAGAATTGTTACTGAGGGACACAGAATCGTTACTCAGGGACACAGAATTGTTACTCAGGGACACAGAATTGTTACTCAGGGACACAGAATTGTTACTCAGGGACACACAGAATTGTTACTCAGGGACACAGAATTGTTACTCAGGGACACAGAATTGTTACTCAGGGACACAGAATCGTTACTCAGGGACACAGAATTGTTACTCAGGGACACAGAATTGTTACTCAGGGACACAGAATTGTTACTCAGGGACACAGAATTGTTACTGAGGGACACAGAATCGTTACTCAGGGACACAGAATTGTTACTCAGGGACACAGAATTTGTTACTCAGGGACACAGAATTGTTACTCTGGGACACAGAATTGTTACTGAGGGACACAGAAATCGTTACTCAGGGACACAGAATTGTTACTCAGGGACACAGAATTGTTACTCAGGGACACAGAATCGTTACTCAGGGACACAGAATCGTTACTCAGGGACACAGAATTGTTACTGAGGGACACAGAATCGTTACTCAGGGACACAGAATCGTTACTGAGGGACACAGAATCGTTACTGAGGGACACAGAATTGTTACTCAGGGACACAGAATTGTTACTCAGGGACACAGAATCGTTACTCAGGGACACAGAATTGTTACTCAGGGACACAGAATTGTTACTGAGGGACACAGAATCGTTACTCAGGGACACAGAATTGTTACTCAGGGACACAGAATTGTTACTCAGGGACAGACACAGAATTGTTACTCAGGGACACAGAATTGTTACTGAGGGACACAGAATCGTTACTCAGGGACACAGAATTGTTACTCAGGGACACAGAATTGTTACTCAGGGACACAGAATTGTTACTCAGGGACACAGAATTGTTACTGAGGGACACAGAATCGTTACTCAGGGACACAGAATTGTTACTCAGGGACACAGAATTGTTACTCAGGGACACAGAATTGTTACTCAGGGACACAGAATCGTTACTCAGGGACACAGAATTGTTACTGAGGGACACAGAATTGTTACTCAGGGACACAGAATTGTTACTCAGGGACACAGAATTGTTACTCAGGGGACACAGAATTGTTACTCAGGGACACAGAATTGTTACTGAGGGACACAGAATCGTTACTCAGGGACACAGAATTGTTACTCAGGGACACAGAATTGTTACTCAGGGACAGACACAGAATTGTTACTCAGGGACACAGAATTGTTACTGAGGGACACAGAATTGTTACTCAGGGACACAGAATTGTTACTCAGGGACACAGAATTGTTACTCACTCAGGCACAGAATTGTTACTCTGGGACACAGAATTGTTACTGAGGGACACAGAATCGTTACTCAGGGACACAGAATTGTTACTCAGGGACACAGAATTGTTACTCAGGGACACAGAATCGTTACTCAGGGACACAGAATCGTTACTCAGGGACACAGAATTGTTACTCAGGGGACACAGAATCGTTACTCAGGGGACACAGAATCGTTACTCAGGGACACAGAATTGTTACTGAGGGACACAGAATTGTTACTGAGGGACACAGAATTGTTACTCAGGGACACAGAATTGTTACTCAGGGACACAGAATCGTTACTCAGGGACACAGAATCGTTACTCAGGGACACAGAATCGTTACTCAGGGACACAGAATCATTGAATTAAAGAGTATGTCAGACAACACGCAGAGGAGTGGCAGAGGAGGCAATGTTTCAGGAGCGAGCAGACGTGGCAGCAGAGGGAAGGGGTCGAGGCAGCACTAGTCGCAGCCAGAGGCCAGTGCTCCCGGTGTCATCCAGCGGTCGTGTCTCCACCGACAACCCTGCCGTCATCGATTGGTTGGGGACTCGGTCGTCTTCCTCTTCCCAGGTCACCTCTGACACCTACAGCCAACACAGTCGTGGGTACGTCAGACACAACCGTTAGTTGGCATGGCCCGGGAGCAAGCCCACTGAAATCACGTGTCCTCTACCTGCCCCTGTCCTTTGGTGTTCCCTCACCAAGCGAAGTATCGCATGCTGTGGGCTCAGCCCCACTGTACAGTGAGGAAGAGCTAACAGAGGGCGGTCAGGAACGGGGGGAGACATCCGCCTTTTCAGCAGCCAGGCGAAGAAGTAGTGGCGAGGAGAGTGGCTCGGTAGCCGGTCTAGAGACAGGTCTGTCTCCTGACCCACACGCAGCCGAGGGGGCTAGTAGTGAGGCGGAGACCCTAATTGATGATGATGAGAGGCTGATCGCACTTGGCAGCCTCGTCGTCATCTGCCAGGCCCGTAATCTGCCATGGGCCCCCGTACCGACTCCTCATGCTGCTGCCAGGCCCGTAATCTGTCATGGGCCCCTGTACCGCCTCCTCATGCTGCTGCCAGGTCAGAGAGTGTGTCATGGGTCCCTGTACGGCCTCCCATTGCTGCTGTGTCTCCATCGCCACACTCTGCCATGCATGTGCCACTTTCAGGTCCCCTCACACTGCTGGTGGGTTCCATTTTGTCATAGGGTGCTGGCAGATTACGGGCCTCCATTGCTGCTGCCAGGCCCGTAATCTGCCATGGGCCCCCGTACCGACTCCCTCATGCTGCTGCCAGGGGCCCGGTAGAGTGTCCAGAGTGTGTCATGGGTCCCTGTACGGCCTCCCCATTGCTGCTGTCTCCATCGCCACACTCTGCCATGTGCCACTTTCAGGTCTCCTCACACTGCTGGTGGGTTCCATTTTGTCATAGGGTGCTGGCAGATTACGGGCCTCCCATTGCTGCTGCCAGGCCCGTAATCTGCCATGGGCCCCCGTACCGACTCCTCATGCTGCTGCCCAGGCCCGTAATCTGTCATGGGCCCCTGTACCGCCTCCTCATGCTGCTGCCAGGTCCAGAGTGTGTCATGGGTCCCTGTACGGCCTCCCATTGCTGCTGTCTCCATCGCCACACACTCTGCCATGTGCCACTTTCAGGTCTCCTCACACTGCTGGTGGGTTCCATTTTGTCATAGGGTGCTGGCAGATTACGGGCCTCCCATTGCTGCTGCCAGGCCCGTAATCTGCCATGGGCCCCGTACCGCCTCCTCATGCTGCTGCCAGGTCCAGAGTGTGTCATGGGTCCCTGTACGGCCTCCCATTGCTGCTGTCTCCATCGCCACACTCTGCCATGTGCCACTTTCAGGTCTCCTCACACTGCTGGTGGGTTCCATTTTGTCATAGGGTGCTGGCAGATTACGGGCCTCCCATTGCTGCTGCCAGGCCCGTAATCTGCCATGGGCCCCCGTACCGACTCCTCATGCTGCTGCCAGGCCCGTAATCTGTCATGGGTCCCTGTACCGCCTCCTCATGCTGCTGCCATGTGCAGGTCCAGAGTGTGTCATGGGTGCTGTACGGCCTCCCATTGCTGCTGCCAGGCCCGTAATCTGCCATGGGCCCCAGATTACCGACTCCTCATGCTGCTGCCAGGCCCGTAATCTGTCATGGGCCCCTGTACCGCCTCCTCATGCTGCTGCCAGGTCCAGAGTGTGTCATGGGTCCCTGTACGGCCTCCCATTGCTGCTGTCTCCATCGCCACACTCTGCCATGTGCCACTTTCAGGTCTCCTCACACTGCTGGTGGGTTCCATTTTGTCATAGGGTGCTGGCAGATTATGGGCCTCCCATTGCTGCTGCCAGGCCCGTAATCTGCCATGGGCCCCCGTACCCGACCTGTGTCATGCTGCTGCCAGGCCCGTCCCATCTGTCATGGGCCCCTGTACCGCCTCCTCATGCTGTGCCAGGTTCAAGTGTCATGGGTCACCTGTGGTGGGCCTCCCATTGCTGTCTGTGCTGGCATCGCCTCCCATTGCTGCTGCCATGTGCCACTTTCAGGTCTCCTCACACTGCTGGTGGGTTCCATTTTGTCATAGGGTGCTGTAGATTACGGGCCTCCCATTGCTGCTGCCAGGCCCGTAATCTGCCATGGGCCCCCGTACCGACTCCCTCATGCTGCTGCCAGGCCCGTAATCTGTCATGGGCCCCTGTACCGCCTCCTCCTCATGCTGCTGCCAGGTCCAGAGTGTGTCATGGGTCCCTGTACGGCGCCTCCCATTGCTGCTGTCTCCATCGCCACACTCTGCCATGTGCCACTTTCAGGTCTCCTCACACTGCTGGTGGGTTCCATTTTGTCATAGGGTGCTGGCAGATTACGGGCCTCCCATTGCTGCTGCCAGGCCCGTAATCTGCCATGGGCCCCCGTACCGCTCCTCATGCTGCTGCCAGGCCCGTAATCTGTCATGGGCCCCTGTACCGCCTCCTCATGCTGCTGCCAGGTCCAGAGTGTGTCATGGGTCCCTGTACGGCCTCCCATTGCTGCTGTCTCCATCGCCACACTCTGCCATGTGCCACTTTCAGGTCTCCTCACACACTGCTGGTGGGTTCCATTTTGTCATAGGGTGCTGGCAGATTACGGGCCTCCCATTGCTGCTGCCAGGCCCGTAATCTGCCATGGGCCCCCGTACCGCCTCATCATGCTGCTGCCAGGTCCAGAGTGTGTCATGGGTCCCTGTACGGCCTCCCATTGCTGCTGCTGGGTCTCCATCGCCACACTCCATGCCATCTGCCATGTGCCACTTTCAGGTCTCCTCACACTGCTGGTGGGTTCCATTTTGTCATAGGGTGCTGGCAGATTACGGGCCTCCCATTGCTGCTGCCAGGCCCGTAATCTGCCATGGGCCCCCGTACCGACTCCTCATGCTGCTGCCAGGCCCGTAATCTGTCATGGGCCCCTGTACCGCCTCCTCATGCTGCTGCCAGGTCCAGAGTGTGTCATGGGTCCCTGTACGGCCTCCCATTGCTGCTGTCTCCATCGCCACACTCTGCCATGTGCCACTTTCAGGTCTCCTCACACTGCTGGTGGGTTCCATTTTGTCATAGGGTGCTGGCAGATTACGGGCCTCCCATTGCTGCTGCCAGGCCACTAATCTGCCATGGGCCCAGTTTCCTCCTCACACTGCTGGTGGGTTCCATTTTGTCATAGGGTGCTGGCAGATTACGGGCCTCCCATTGCTGCTGCCAGGCCCGTAATCTGCCATGGGCCCCCTTACCGTCTCCTCATGCTGCTGCCAGGCCCGTAATCTGTCATGGGGCCCCCATGTGCCGCCAGGCCTCATAATCTGCCATGGGCCCCTGTACCGCTCCTCATGCTGCTGCCAGGTCCAGAGTGTGTCATGGGTCCCTGTACGGCCTCCCATTGCTGCTGTCTCCATCGCCACACTCTGCCATGTGCCACTTTCAGGTCTCCTCACACTGCTGGTGGGTTCCATTTTGTCATAGGGTGCTGGCAGATTACGGGCCTCCCATTGCTGCTGCCAGGCCCGTAATCTGCCATGGGCCCCCGTACCGACTCCTCATGCTGCTGCCAGGCCCGTAATCTGTCATGGGCCCCCGTACCGCCTCCTCATGCTGCTGCCAGGTCCAGAGTGTGTCATGGGTCCCTGTACGGCCTCCCATTGCTGCTGTCTCCATCGCCACACTCTGCATGTGCCACTTTCAGGTCTCCTCACACTGCTGGTGGGTTCCATTTTGTCATAGGGTGCTGGCAGATTACGGGCCTCCCATTGCTGCTGCCAGGCCCGTAATCTGCCATGGGCCCCCGTACCGACTCCTCATGCTGCTGCCAGGCCCGTAATCTGTCATGGGCCCCTGTACCGCCTCCTCATGCTGCTGCCAGGTCCAGAGTGTGTCATGGGTCCCTGTACGGCCTCCCATTGCTGCTGTCTCCATCGCCACACTCTGCCATGTGCCACTTTCAGGTCTCCTCACACTGCTGGTGGGTTCCATTTTGTCATAGGGTGCTGGCAGATTACGGGCCTCCCATTGCTGCTGCCAGGCCCGTAATCTGCCATGGGCCCCCGTACCGACTCCTCATGCTGCTGCCAGGCCCGTAATCTGTCATGGGCCCCTGTACCGCCTCCTCATGCTGCTGCCAGGTCCAGAGTGTGTCATGGGTCCCTGTACGGCCTCCCATTGCTGCTGTCTCCATCGCCACACTCTGCCATGTGCCACTTTCAGGTCTCCTCACACTGCTGGTGGGTTCCATTTTGTCATAGGGTGCTGGCAGATTACGGGCCTCCCATTGCTGCTGCCAGGCCCGTAATCTGCCATGGGCCCCCGTACCGACTCCTCATGCTGCTGCCAGGCCCGTAATCTGTCATGGGCCCCTGTACCGCCTCCTCATGCTGCTGCCAGGTCCAGAGTGTGTCATGGGTCCCTGTACGGCCTCCCATTGCTGCTGTCTCCATCGCCACACTCTGCCATGTGCCACTTTCAGGTCTCCTCACACTGCTGGTGGGGGTTCCCTTTTGTCATAGGGTGCTGGCAGATTACGGCCTCCCATTGCTGCTGTCTCCATCGCCAATCTGCCATGGGCCACTTTCAGGTCTCCTCACACTGCTGCCAGGTGGGTTCCATTTTTGTCCTGTATAGGGTGCTGGCAGATTACGGGCCTCCCATTGCTGCTGCCAGGCCCGTAATCTGCCATGGGCCCCCGTACCGACTCCTCATGCTGCTGCTGCCAGGCCCGTAATCTGTCATGGGCCCCTGTACCGCCTCCTCATGCTGCTGCTGCTGCTGCCAGGGTCCAGAGTGTGTCATGGGTCCCTGTACGGCCTCCCATTGCTGCTGTCTCCATCGCCACACACTCTGCCATGTGCCACTTTCAGGTCTCCTCACACTGCTGGTGGGTTCCATTTTGTCATAGGGTGCTGGCAGATTACGGCCTCCCATTGCTGCTGCCAGGCCCGTAATCTGCCATGGGCCCCCGTACCGACTCCCTCATGCTGCTGCCAGGCCCGTAATCTGTCATGGGCCCCTGTACCGCCTCCTCATGCTGCTGCCAGGTCCAGAGTGTGTCATGGGTCCCTGTACGGCCTCCCATTGCTGCTGTCTCCATCGCCACACTCTGCCATGTGCCACTTTCAGGTCTCCTCACACTGCTGGTGGGGTTCCATTTTGTCATAGGGTGCTGGCAGATTACGGGCCTCCCATTGCTGCTGCCAGGCCCCGTAATCTGCCATGGGCCCCCGTAATCCTGCTGCTGGGCCCTGTCATGGGCCCCTGTACCGCCTCCTCATGCTGCTGCCAGGTCCAGAGTGTGTCATGGGTCCCTGTACGGCCTCCCATTGCTGCTGTCTCCATCGCCCACACTCTGCCATGTGCCACTTTCAGGTCTCCTCACACTGCTGGTGGGTTCCCATTTTGTCATAGGGTGCTGGCAGATTACGGGCTCCCATTGCTGCTGCCAGGCCCGTAATCTGCCATGGGCCCCCGTACCGACTCCTCATGCTGCTGCCAGGCCCGTAATCTGTCATGGGCCCCTGTACCGCCTCCTCATGCTGCTGCCAGGTCCAGAGTGTGTCATGGGTCCCTGTACGGCCTCCCATTGCTGCTGTCTCCATCGCCACACTCTGCCATGTGCCACTTTCAGGTCTCCTCACACTGCTGGTGGGTTCCATTTTGTCATAGGGTGCTGTATGGCCTCCCATTGCTGCTGCCATGCCTCCACCGCCACACTGTGGCTCCACACTCTGGTTTTGGCCCCGTGACTGCCCAAATGAGTGAAGTGTGCGGTGATTCTAAGATCGACGGCACTCATCTGCATGTCATACTGACTGACAGTATTATTTCTCTTCCCCAGCAGACTCCAAGGGCATTTAAATTAAAGGTACAGTGTTCTGCACTAATATAAAGGCTCTCTGAAGCCTAGAAACACCCTTTTTATATGTTAAATTCGCAGCGAATATATTCGTCTCGAATCGAATTTATTCCGCGAATTCGCCGAATCAGCCGAATCGAATTTTTGAATACTTCGCTCATCTCTAATCACAATCATGGGAAAGACTGCTGACCTGACAGTTGTGCAGAAAACCATCATTGACACCCTCCATAAGGACGGAAAGCCTCAAAAGGTAATTGCAAAAGAAGTTGGATGTTCCAAAAGTGCTGTATCAAAGCACATTAATAGAAAGTTATGTGGAAGAGAAAAGTGTGGAAGAAAAAGGTGCACAAGCAGCAGGGATGACCGCAGCCTGGAGAGGATTGTCAGGAAAAGGCCATTCAAAAGTGTTGGGGACTTTCACAAGAAGTGGACTGAGGCTGGAGTCAGTGCATCAAGAGCCACCACACACAGACGGATCCTGGACATGGGCTTCAAATGTCGTATTCCTCTTGTCAAGCCGCTCTTGAACAACAAACAACGTCAGAAGCGTCTTACCTGGGCTAAAGAAAAACAGACCTGGTCTGTTGCTCAGTGGTCCAAAGTCCTCTTTTCTGATGAGAGCAACTTTTGCATCTCATTTGGAAACCAAGGACCCAGAGTATGGAGTAAGAATGGAGAGGCACACACTGCAAGATGCTTGAAGTCCAGTGTGATGTTTCCACAGTCTGTGTTGATTTGGGGAGCCATGTCATCTGTTGGTGTTGGTCCACTGTGGTTCATTAAGTCCAGGGTCAACGCAGCCGTCTACCAGGAGATTTTGGAGCACTTCATGCTTCCTTCCACAGACGAGCTTTATGGGGATGCTGACTTCATTTTCCAGCAGGAGTTGGCACCTGCCCACACTGCAAAAGCACCAAAACCTGGTTCAATGACCGTGGGATTATTACTGTGCTTGATTGGCCAGCAAACTCGCCTGACCTGAACCCCATAGAGAATCTATGGGGCATTGCCAAAAGAAAGATGAGAGACATGAGACTGAACAATGCAGAAGAGCTGAAGGCCACTATTAAAGCATCATGGTCTTCCATAACACCTCAGCAGTGCCACAGGCTGATAGCTTCCATGCCACGATGCATTGAGGCAGTAATTGCTGCAAAAGGGGCCCAAACCAAGTACTGAGTATATATGCATGCTTATACTTTTCAGAGGTCCGATATTGTTCTATGTACAATCCTTGTTTTATTGATTGCATGTAATATTCTAATTTTCTGAGATTGTGGATTTGGGGTTTTCATGAGCTGTAAGCCATAATCATCACAATTATGACAAATCACGGCTTGAACTATCTTGCTTTGCATGTAATGAGTCTATCTCATTTATTAGTTTCACCTTTTAAGTTGCATTACTGAAATAAATGAACTTTTGCACGATATTCTAATTTTTCGAGTTTCACCTGTATGTATATATATATATATATATATATATATATATATATATTTTCCGACAAAAGTGGAGTTACTACTCTTTTGTTGAAAGAAAAAACATTCCCCTCTGGGTGATCAATGTACATTACAAGCATTTTAAGGCCGCATTCACACGAACGTGCTACGGTGCACACCCATGCAAGGACCATGTTTCCTCGCACGGGGATTGCAGAGGTGTGCCATGAATCCCCATGCAGGCAGTCCCATTCATGTAATTTGAGACGCAGCATCTGCACAAATACAGCTGCTGCTCCCAATTTAACATCTCTATGGGTGTGGATGCATGGCCTGATAAACAGTGTGCTCTGTAGTACACCTGTATGAACAAGGCCTAATAAACTTTGTAGCATATTCCTACCTGTTTCTGCTCTGAAGGAATACCTTTTTGTTAGATCATGTTTTGTGCAGAGTGATTCTGAATGCGAATGAGTAATTCAATATAATATTTTCAGGTTTCTGATCAGAAAAGTTGCAGTGTATGCATTCCATTGTAAGTGATTAACCCTTAGGAGGTATCTCACTAAAACTGACATTTTTGTTGCAGAAGATGCCTAAAACTTGACATGTATCTTAGCACAGAGTTCTTCACACAGGCAGGAAATAACATTTTTGTGTACAGAATGCCTCCAGGTTGTCATACTGCATTGTATCTTTTAGAAAATTACAGCAGCTGCAGTTTTATAAGGAAATGTAATTTTTAATACCATTCAATTACAACATGGCTTGTGTAGCAATTGTACTGTATAAACTGTATTCATTCTTTTTATTTGCTGTATTTTTTTCCCACAAAAGTTGAGTTACCCTTCAGAGTGGAAGTATTGACTAGTATAAGTTTTGTTAAAAATGTTGACTCCTCCGTCCTAATACCTATGCTGTATACTAAGCTGCGGCTCATCCTAAACACATGCATGCGTTGGACTTTTTCTTTTATCAGAGCTTGAAGGGGATCTGTGCATGTGTGATGCAATGGCCTTAAATGCGGGGCTGAAGAGCATCACTTTCTGCCACCCCACTTTCTTTTAGAGTATCTCCATTCTTTTCACCATGTCCCCTCATCTTACACTTCCACCCGCACCACTTTCTCTCATATCACCACTCTCCCCCCATTTTACAACAATATTTGTACCCTATCCCTCTTCTGTTACCCTACACCCTGTAACCCTCCCCCCCCCGCTGCTGCACACCATCTACAGCTATCTGCACCAACCCACACACTGCACTTACACACCCTTATCTATCAGTGTCATCTACACCTTCAGCACTCTCAGCCTCCATGTAGTTTGAAGCTTTACTTTATTCTCCCATTACCCACTGTGCCTTTAACCCACCTTCTCACCCCATCCGCCATGCATGTACTGCTCTCCTGAGACTGGGCATGTATGTGGTTGGAACTGTGGGTGGGATTCTGGTCTATCCATATTAGATCAGTCTGTCCAGACCATGGTCGCCCCTTACCTCCTACTGTGTGGCCCAGTCATCAACAGGCTGGACAGGTGGCCTGGCGGCCCTGGCACAGTGGGCAGGTCAGGAGTTTCCTGGCTTGTCAGTCAAATGCTTAGGCCATTCTAAACAGGACAGACTAACAAAACTATGTTTTCTTAGTGGGCACGACAGACTGAGTGTCTGATTTTCCAGGGTCCTCCAACTAAAGTGAGTGGTCACACATTACGTCACACTTACTGATATGCAACTACACAGGAGATGTTTATTACATGGCCAATGACCAAGGAAGGAGCAGGCATAGTGGCCACTGGTTGTGTAAAATGAAGGAGAGTGAGGGATTAAGGTACAATGAGCCCACAAGCTGGGATTTTTAAGTATTTGAACACTTATATTGAAAAAGACAAGATGTAACTAGAATGTAAGAAATTATCTTTCAAAGCATGAAAGAAATTTTCTGCCAAGAGTTTAGCTTTAGCCTAAATCCTCAAAACAGTTATCACCCCAGCTGCTCCTATTGAGAGAAAAAAATTGAAAACATGACCTATTGCAGTACTTGATGACTCAAACTAAGAAACAATGGTGTACTATATACAGGAACCTCCAGCCTCCTTAGAGATGAATCGGCATTACAGTGACCCAGTTCATGATGAGGTCTTCATAAGCTACTTCAACATGAACAAAAATGTACACTGATTCAGTAACAACTGTATTCCAATTGCTAGTATGTACCCACATACAATCTGGCCTACCTAAACTGCCTGATAAATATAAAATGATGTTTAAGTAAGGAAAATAAGCATATACTCTGTGACGAAGCGATGAAATCTGGCATTTTACAGTAGTCATGTATACCTTGCTTCCCTGTGTATTACAATATGAAAGATGCCGGATAACTGAACTGATAGGCTATGCTTTAAAGTACATGTAAGCTGATGTCTAGATTGTTAAAAAACTGCTGTTTTTTCCTTTAGAAAATGTTGTTTTCACCTTTATTTATTACTTTCATGCATATCAGTGCTGCTGATTTTTCCAGCCTCCTCACAAGCATTTCCTTCCTACAAATATGTACACCAGTAATGATTTCATGCCATTGCTCTGTCCAGGTTTCCTGATAAGAACAACTGAATATGCCTACTTAATAACCATTGGCATAGAAGCGTATTGCCTGCAGTGGAAGTGCATGTGACAGTGTGACAATGCAGAAAGGCAGTTGGGAGAAAGTCACACAGGGGGTTATTTACTAAAACTAGAGAGTGCACAATCTGCTGCAACTTTGCATAGAAACCAATCATCTTCCAGGTTTTATTTCCAAACAAGCTGAAGTTAGAAGCTGATTGGCTACCATCCACAGATTCTGAGTGAACCAGTTTTAGTAAATCTACCCCAGAGTGTTGTCACCGTATAACAGGAAGTGTCTGAACAAGGACCTTAATAGTAGAGTCATTAGGTATTAATTTAATCAAGGTTTCAGATTAAAAATGATGTTAGAAGAATTAAGATTTTAATGACTGGTTTACATATACTTAATGTGTAAATGTGTAAATCTTGATGTTCACAAAGTTAATATCAGTTCATGAGTAAACAATTTTAGAGATCTACTTTAAAGCAACCCATTCGCCTTGTTGACAAAAAAAAATAAATAAATAAATAAATATATATATATATATATATATATATATATATATATATATATAGGCAGTCTGTAAAAAAAGGATTAATACAGATGTCTTTGTTTACCAAAGTTTGCACACAAACACTAAAAATGTAGGCATGCCATAGCCAAAGACCAAACCGGGGAATACTACCCCTCACTAGTGTAAAGAGGCACTGCATCCCAGTGTAAAAGGGAACTACACTAACCACCAATGTAACGTAAAGGCACTGCCCTGGGCCTGTTTACCAGTGTCAGGGGGACTTCACAACTAATCACAAATGTAAGAGAGAACTTCACCATTAACCAGCAACATAAAGGGTAATTTTACCACTTAACAGCAACATAAGGGAACAATTTTCCACTGACCAACAGAAAGGGTCATTACAGCTTGACTAACATTGCAGGAGGTACTTGACCACTTCTCAAAAATGTCAGGGAGCATTGCACCA